GTATTTCGCAGTAGCGCTAGTACTACTATTACTACCAATGCTTGCGCAGAGTCCCCCGAACCCAAATCTAATGGGCTGCCACGAGGTTTGGCTCTCAGCGTCAGGAGACTTGCTGCAACACTCACAAGATGCAGAGTCCGCATGCTTGCGTAAAGTAGGTATGCCTACAAGAACTTGAGTCCTTTGAGCCTAGTTGCAAGGATACACCCGGATCTCCATGCCTTGTTGTCTCAACTCCACCCTCATGTTTACAGGAAGAAAATTTTCTTGGTTCAAGTTTTTTTCGGACTGCACAACCATCAAATTGTGATGATGCCATCTGATGGCATGCATGAAGCTCTGCAAGCGAACAAGTCACCCTCCAAGTCTTTCTGACCCTTGTTCACGCGCCGCCATCTGGCAAGCATGGTGCATATCACTTGTCCTATCCCACCTGTTGATCGTTTCCCATTATCGACATCGATCCCCTCTGCCACGCGAAGTTGGGCTAGAAAACGGGCGTACTGGGTGGCATCTGGCCATTTCGCTGCATCGGCGACTGACCATTGCTCCCTTGGCCACCATTCGAAGGGCCCTGGCATGTTATGCAGGTGCTTCATTCCCCTTTCATCAAGCTACAGGCCAGCCAGAGGCAGCTACTCAGCACACCAGTCGAGCTGGCCGCATGCTCGGACGCAGGGTCGGAGAGCTCAGATTCGTCAACAGCTTTACTAAGGCCAACTATCACATTCTTGGTTATTACAAGGCCACACAAACCAAATGCCCCAAATGCCACGCATGGACTCCGCGAGCCCAAGAGCTGTGCCGAGAGTAACCACGTCTAGTCAAGCACGCAATGGATAGATTGTTCTGTACAGTCTAGTGCTTGCCTCTCTCTGACGGCTCAGCAAAGGCTCCGAACACCAACTTTGATGGTCAACAAACTGGACATCGGGAGCGAGAGGGAAAGGAGCATGGGACATGAGGGCAGCAAACACGTACGGAACTGTGGTCACCAGGCCTCGCCAATGTCAACCTTAGTCGGCGGCAAAAGAAGACGACCTGGACTTTGATCCCGGCAATTCCACTTGGGAATAGGTGGCGGGCGCCAAAGGTGGACAGACCTTGAATACTACGCTACGACGATACGTCCACGCTGCACGCGGGTTTCCGAATTGAAAGCGATGCATGGGCAGTGGACACACAGCGTCACATCCGCAGTCCACGGCTGCACTGCAGAGACAGGCTAAAGGCGAATCTGCAGAAGATAGATTGGAGGGCGAAAGTTATTACGGGCGAGTGCGTAACAAACGGTTAGCATCAAGCGTCTGCGGAGCACTTGGCCCTGCCCCGGCTCCCCCACACGGGACTCTGGGTGCTCTCGTCGGAAATCTTTGACGTTCTTTTCCATGCTGTCTTCACTTAGCACTCGCTTTTGTCGTTGAGCTCCGGAATTCCTGCATTCCGAGCAAGCCCATGGTGCATCTTTCTTTCACGGTGGTGGGGCTATAATGGCTGGACCAAGCAGCATACATGATGAATCCTTCTTATTCACGATCCTTACAAGGACACCGGACTTTCTTTCTCATATCATCACATCCCCCCCCCCCTTCAAGGAGGAGCAGTCGAGAGAAGCGATAGCTCGCGGAATGTCTTTATGCGAGAGACGACCAAGGGAAAAGAAACCCCCATCGAATTTCGCATGTCCAAGACCAACTCCCCCCCCCCCGGCATCTCGTATGCGGCGACACCCGTTGACGGTCGACTTATGTACCCCGGACCGTGGCTGTCGAGGTAACATTTCCTTTCATGCGACATGGAACGCTACATTTGAGGTCTTGACTGACGGGGGTGGCGTTGCTTCGTACAGCCCAAGGAATACCCCTTGTGGAAGGTATGGAACCATTCACACGTCAAACAGGCAAACGCTCTGTCCTGAAGCTTCTCGAATGAGGGTAGCTGGTGGACAATGTGCTTGACCTGCATACCAAGCCTGCAATCAAAAAAAGAAAAGCAGTGCAAGCAAGGTCCATGTTTTGCAGCCGTGAAGCTGCGAGTTTATTCCCGTCTTTCTGGCTCTCGGTCTGTTGCGTGCTGTGGTACGAAGCGCCCCAGTTGGGCTGCCACTGGTCTCTTCGCCTCCGCTCGAATCGGGCCCCTTGCATGAACTCCGAAGACGACGAAGATATGCGGTGGGATTCACAGCCGCAGTTCCCGAAGCCCTTTGGAGGGTGGCGGCAAGAAGCCGATGCTCCTCCTCCAAGTCCATCGTTTGCATGATCCGGTCGCACTGCACCTACAGTTCGGCAGCGGCAAGCCTTTCGATCTTGCCACGGGATTGGCCGCCAGCATCGGGCGCTGTTCATCAACTCGTCCGGAAAGCAAGCCGGCCTTTGAGATCAATGGCTCGGACTACTCCCGACGGCCATCTTGAGCTCCTCAGCAAGAGCCCATTTCACGATACGCGCTGAGGTGTCGCACCGGTTGTGGAGACACCCTGTCCTGCCTTGCCCTGCGATCGCTTGACGGGTTTGAAAAGCTGATCAGCTTGCCCTTATCTCCACCTCTCATCGCTGGTAAGCGCAAGGCAATGAATCGCTTCTTTTGCCCACGAAAAGCGACCCTGGTGGGAGGAGAGAGAGTCAGGGCAGAGCGACGGCGGCAGGGTGCGAACGAGACGTCAAGCTTGCCTGCAAGCAAACCACGCAGCTTGGCAGCGGGCCCAAGGCAGTTGACCGACGTGAACTGTCTCGCCTCGCCTGCTGAGTGTCTTTTTGGCGCATACTACCGGCTGGTCCGTCGATTCCCTTGTTGGAGCCGGAGCCCGGAGTTGACCAGGTCGCGGTAAACAGTATTACTATGCTGCTAGGAGGCAGTGATCGTCGATTCGCGTCCCCCCTCCTGGCCCCCCCAATAATGCGATGACAACGGGAGGGCAGGGTTCTGGTTCTGTCAAAAAGGGTCCCATTCCTAGTAGCAACGAGCCTTATCGCAGCTAGACTTACACGCATTACCACATACAGCATAGGTACAGATGCAACGCTCCCGTACGAAACAGCTTCGCGGGCAAGGGCAGAAGAAAAAGAAAACGAACTTTTGGCTCTACTCCACCCCTCCCAGATACACACACACACAGGAAGAGGGAAAAGGCTCTGGAGTGGCAGTAACAAAAAGAGACAACATGTACAGAGGGCGAAATGGCGAGCGCGGGGTTGCGGTTTGTTACCATGAACGAGAAACAATGTCCTTTTGCGGCTTTCACCACCCTCTCCCTGTCTCTTGGCGGTGCTGCCTGTTCAGCTGGTGCCGGCAGACCCGTCAATGACGATGTGCTTCGCTTCTGCCATCCATTCCTCTTTTCTCTCGCCTGGCTTTTTGGTTCGGTAATACTATGCTTTTGCTTCTTCTTGTGCGTGTGGGTTTTGAAAGCCATTTGCGTCTGCACCTGCATAGAGTGGAGTTTATCACATGGGAAAAACAAACACTATGGCGTGGCTATAAGCCAGTTGGAGAGTTGCCGAGCCTTTTGGCAGCTCATGGCTATCGTTAAAGGTGCCATAGTTGGAAAGGAAGTAAACAAAGTCCTGTGGGGATTTCGTGTGAATCCGCGACTGAACTCAGGGTGACTCTGACGCTGTCATGGTTGCCCTTTTGTCCTCTTCTCGCTCTCCCGCCGCCTTATCCTCTCTCTCTTTTTCCCTCACCCTCTCTCGATGCCATCCTCTCCGTTTCTACTTTTCTGCTCTTCTCTTTATTTTACACATTTCCTCACTTGCCTATCTTCTGGTGCCGGGTGTGATGGTGTAGTCCGCATCCACACCAACATCTCAAAAGGGCCGCTAGGATCGTGATAAGAGATCAAGCTTCTGATCATGTCGAGATCCTCTCTCCCTCCCTCCCAGAGTTGTCACACCATCATCCCCATATGGGTGGCGATTTATTACCCGCTCCTACAAGTCTGCGGCGCTTTCATAGCAGTGTACTTAAGAGAAACACCAAGAAAAAAAAACGGAGGATAGGGCGAGGCGTCCTTTTCCAATGATTTATCTGACTTATGCCCTGTAATGGGATGGAATTGCTCGATCCTACTCCAAGGCATGATATTTTGAGGTGCCTGAACGTACATGTTCCGCGTGAACCAAAGAGAACAGTCACCGATACTGGAAAAGAGGCCTTCACAGTGAGATTGAGAAGTGAGGTACTCGCGTAGGTATGCCCTAGGCAGTCGAAAATTTCGTCGTGTGATTCATCTACAAACCCCCCTATGGTTCCTCACCAAGATGCCTCTGTCAATCCTTCAGTCAGTCAAGTGGCTCTCTTCCGGAGCAGAAGATGCACCCAGTCGTCTGTGCCCCAAACGGGCGATCCCGTAGATGTGTGTCTCGTGAAAGCAGCACAAGAGGATGGAACAGCGACCTCACTTCCAAGATTATGAGCAGATCATTGTTCTCTATATAAGTATCTTGTTCGCGATATATGAATACAGACGATTGATCCTATCATTACATCAAAAACAGTTGGATTGAAACAAGAAGTCATGGTAGACAGGAAGCAACTTACAACATGGGGCAAAAGGGAACAAAAAGGACGCGCATTGTCGAATAATCTCAACATGCAAGCAAGGCATCATCATCATCATTGAAGACTTCTTAGAATCATGGTTGTCACACAGATTGCCTTGAGAACCATAGCAACAACACTTCATAATGGTGAGACAAGGTATAAATATTAATCGCGATATAGGAGACATCGATCCCATGTACCTCTACAGAAGCCTCGCGAAGGAAGAAAAAACAATCCACAACTCTGGGCTGGGTAATAAGGTATATAGCATTATGGGGCCAGGCGACGGACACCATCGAACCCTTTGATCAGTGATCCGCCATCCGTACACGCACTTTCATACAGACACGCGCCCGCGCACTCGTCATCTCCTCTGTCTATGTGTGCTTGAGCTTCTCTTCTTCTGAATTAAACATAACCAAAGTGTACAATGCTCATCTCGTATTCACATGCAAAATTTACAACAAAGCAGCAGCCACGGCTCCGGCCAACAGAGCCACCGCGGCAGGTGCGCGGAACCCAGCAGCTCCGGCCGGGACAGGAGGCAGGCCAGACTGGGCAGGCTGAGAGGGAACGCCAGTGCTGCCAGGGGCGATGACGGTCGTCAGTCCACCGCTAGGGAAGGGAGCCGGAGCCGGCGTGACAGCCGGGGGGTTGGCAACCGGAGTAGAGACGGCATGCTCAGGCGGAGGGGGAGGCGGGTAGTAGGCGGACTGGGCCGGGCTGGTGGCGACAGGGGCAGTGGGCGATGGCACCACGCTGGGCGAGGCGGGAGACGAGGCGGCGACAGAGGGAGTGGGAGTGGGGGCCGCAATACCAGGGATGACAACGGGGGCCGTCTGGGTGACAATGGGAGTGACAACAATAACGTTAGGCGCCGTCTTGGGGTTGCTGCAGGTGTTCTTGCCTTGGCTGCAGGTGTACGTGTTGGGCAGCGTGAAGGTTGCAGTGATCTCGGGAGCTGCGGGCTTGGGAGGAGCCGTGGGATGCGGGCCGTTCTCAACGGGGCACCAGGTCGTGTACGCAACGACAACCTCAGTCGTGACGTGGCCAACGGGGCAGTTGGTGACTGAAGGCGGGCACGAGGTGACAGTGTACACGTTGGTGGTGGTGAAGGTCGATGTGTACGTTGCGGAGGCCGTGGTGGCGTCGCCAGAGCCAGAGCCAGAGCCAGAGCCAGTGGCCGCGGAGGTGGTGCCGGCAGCAGCAGCGCCGGTGCTGGATTCCGAGGGGACGGTGCTGGAACCGGCGGCGGCGGCGACGGAGCTGAGGCTCGGGATGGGGTAGGGGGCGGTACCGTTGCTGAACCGGTGCGAGGTCGTGGGCAGAAGTCCGGTGGTGGCGGGCGCAGTGTTCAGCGGCACGCTGGTGGTCTCGGCGGCGGCAGAAGTGGTGGCGGCCTCGGAGGAGGTGGTAGCAGCCTCGGAGGTGGTGGCGGCCAGTTCAGACGTCGAGGCGGCAGCGGAGGTGGCTGTGGTCTCCGCAACAGAGGTGGTCGTGTCGGTCTTGACGGAGGGAGAGCACTTGCCAATGGCAGAAGCCGGGATGGCGTCGGGGCCGGAGCCGATGGGGATCAGCTCGTCGCCGCAGTCCTCGTTGGCCGCAATGTGGACCTCCTGGTTGTCCCAGTCAAAGACGACGTAGGCAGCGCGCAAAAAGGTGTCGCCCAAAACAGGGAAGTTGTCGTCCTGGGACACACCGAGCTTGCAGATGCCCAGGTCAGGCTGCTGCCAGATGAAGTCCTTGTACTCGACGTCGACCACAACGTTGCCAAACTTGAAGTTGACACGGCCGGGGGTGTCAATGATGTCGCAGTCCACAATGTAGTCGCCCGAGGTGGACTCCAGACGAGCAGAGGGGAAGGCCTCGAGGATCTTGTCCATCAGGGGGCCGGGAAGGGTGCTGACGGTGTAGCCGCTGTCGAGGAGCACCGGCTGGCCGTTGGGCTTGTCGAAGATCTCAAACTTGGAGCCGTCCTCCTTGGTGATGCTCATACCGTCCATATGGACCCAGTAGCGGGTGTAGCCATCGGGGGACTGGGCGGCGGGGATGATGGGCTTCTTGGCAAGGGGGCCAGAGAACTTCTTGATATCGATTCCGCCGTAGGTGACGGAGCCTCGGTCGCTGTCGAGGCCACGGATGTCGAGACTGAAAGCCCTGCTCTTGATGAAGCCCTGCTTGACCAGGTTGTCAATGACAAAGGGGTAGGGGCTCGTCCAGCCGCTGAGGTCGGGACCGGCACCGAGGATACCGACGGAAGCAAACTCGCTGTCAGTGGCAACACCGAAGACTTGCTGATTGATACGCAGAGCTGCATTTGCTGGTCAGCCATCTTTATACTCCCATGTCTCCCGTATTACCCTCCCAATCATCAGGTCGTCCTCAAGCTGGCATCGAAGCAAGCTTGAGCTGAGTCTATTGGGTCCCTCTTGACTCATAGATTCCACCATCACGACGGCTCCTCAAATTTTTTTTTTCTTCTTTGAAAGGGACATTTCACTTACAGCCAAGCTGGACATAGTCGTAGCCGTAGTTGAAATCAACAAAGCCGGTACCATACTTGATACCTCCGGGAGCCTTGGCGTCGACAAAGGTGGTGGAATGGTTGTACTGGCCAAAGGTCTTGCAAAAGGCAGGGTCCGTCGCCTTGCTGCACACGGGGTTGACCCAGAGCTCGGAGGAGCCAGTATCGAAATTGACGCTCACTGCCTGCGGTGGTGTGCCAATCTCGAGCTGGATGCTGTAAAAGTAGCCAGTCTGTTGGGACATCAAATCGGCGCTATCCTGGCGCCTGTGAAGGTGCTTCGAGGTGGCACCCTTGGTAGTGGTGAGGGTATATCGCATAATTCCATTTTGCTGGGCGACTGTGTCGTCGATGAATTCGAGGGCTTGAGCCGCAAGCGGCAGGGCCGCGAGGCCGTAAAGAGTGGAACGCATACTTGTAGCGAACGTATGCAATTGCCGGCGTAAAGAATGACCGGCAAAGAGGCTGTAATAATAAGAAGAAGCACGAAGAAGAAGGAAGGACTGAAAAACAGTTGGACACAAAAAGGGAGCGACTTAGGCGAGAAGGAGGGAGACCTCTGAGGTCGAGATGGAGAGCGAGGGAGCTGGTCCAGGGAGCATTATGTATAACCAGTTCGGCGTCCCGTACCCTGCCTGCGCAGGTGGATAATTACTCGTAGTCGACGAGCGAACAGAGAGACGACTCGACAAGCCCAGGCGATCCCGGGGCCTTGGCGTGGGTCCCAGCATCCATGTCTGTACCTGTATGGCGTCGCTTGGGAGCAGTCAAAACGGCCACAGGGTTGCGCCAATCCAGGGACGAGCAGGACGGCTCTGCCTGCGTCTGTTTGGGGCCAAGCCGCGGCAGTGGATATTAGTCGTGGGCGCACAGAGGAAATGAGCAAATGAAGACGACCGGGGGGGACCAGAGCTCTCCCGCGTTCTCACCTCCTCGATGTGGCGAATCAACGGTTGCACACACGGGCGAGCCAACACCACAAGAGGCCTCAAGCTTCAAGCTTCTGCAGTCCAGCGACCGAGTTCCTGCAGCGGGATACGGACGGAGCGCTCGGTGGCACCAGATAAGCTTCAATCGAAGCTAGAGTGCTAAATAAAGTTGTTGGGCGTGAAGCCGGTCTGCTTCGATCACCTGTGCGCGCCTCCCGTGCGTCCCGCAGCTGCAGACGATATACTACTAAACCCATTGCTTTGCAAAGCTCAGATGGGCGCGTAGACGGGCGCATCTATCCGAACTCCTTTTCCCCCCTCCTTCCTTTCTTCTTCCCGGCCAACTCATGTCTGAAGGCGCCGGCTTTGTCAATTTGGGCGAACAAACATTCAGCTGCTCTGCTGTCCCGTGCAAGCTACCGAAAGAGGAGGGGAGAAGACATGCTTCTTAGGGCCTTGGCGGCAATCCTGAAATCAGGCCAGCATCTGAGGTCGCTGCTCTGCAGGAATCGGAATCCCAGCGAATCCCATTTTGCGCCAATCACATGTCCTGTCGCCCGATGCACTTGTCGATCACGCTCATCCGTGAGGCTGCGCCGGTCAGCATCAGAGCGTCCATCCGGGCACCGTCACCCAGACTTGTGTGCGGAGGGCGACAGCGTGGCCGCGGTAGTAACACCCAAGAGGTAATAAACACAGGCAAAGTTTCGGAAGCATGAAGTGGGAGAAACAAGGCCCAGCCTAAACACCGGGGCGAGAGGACAGGGATCGAGTCGTAAAGGGGCCGCCCCAGCTGAAGTCTGGAAAGCTATTAATGACGAAGGGGTCGCGAAGCGGAGAAGACGAAACATGACGGATGGCTCGCCAAGCCAGACACGGGAGGCGACAGCACCGCAGCGCGCGTCGGGGCATTTGGGGGGGCTCTCTGCTGCTGCTTTCTGGCGTGCTGACGCGTTGGTGATGATCAATAGAGGCTGCGAGAGGGGACTCTCGTCTGCTTTGCATTGTGATGATGAGTAGGTAAGGTAAGGTATCCTGGCTGTTCCTCCATGTTGCTGGTGATGCTGAGAAGGAGGAAAGACACAGAGACCGACGCCCAGAATGGGATGGCAAGGATGGCTACCAGCCTGGGTGGGCAGGAAGCACCTGCAGTGGTTGCCACCATGTTTCGGTTCCTGCATTAGACCAGCACGCTTCCCGCCTAGCTCTGGTCAGGGCTGGCGCTCCAGCTGCCCCTATTGGCCGCTAGCACGGCAGCGCTCTGCAGGGGCCGCCCATCCCTCTTGCCCTCCAACTTCCCGCCTCAGCCACGCATCTAATAGTTTCAATCGCTGTGAGGCCCGTGATCGCCGCAAGGCACTGCTACGGTACTGTATGTATTGTGCTAAGTAATAGTAGGTAGATGGATGATAACGTGCTGATGGCGCATCTCGACTTGACTTGCGCATCTGTGGTGCTCATCTATTACCATGGAAATGAATGCCGTTCTGTGTTCCCGGGAGATGCTCCGCTGGTTGCACTGTGGCTTCATTGTGGCTTCTTACCTAGCTCATGGATAACGGATATACCAACCTACGCAGTACCCAGTAGCAGTACTAGGTGAGTAGGGACTTTGCTTCCCCAGAGAAAGTAAGTCAAGGTAGTATTACTGCTGCTGAAAACGCTGGTTTGAGATGGTTCGCCTGGTTCGGAATGTCGGAATCTCTTTGACGGAGATTGACCGTGCCAAGCGTTCCGTCAAATTGGGTGCAAGATGAGAGGATAAAGTGTGTACGGGGTAATCTCAAGCTAATCAAGCAAACCGATCTCCCAGCAGCTGAGATGGCTTCTCTGCCTGGTGCATGGATTCAATCTTGGCTGTGCCTCGACTTGGAGATGACACATGAAGTAGGACTTGGTACCCTAACCTACCTTGACTCTCTCGGACGAACGAGCTTGTTCAGCTGCGATGCTGGCCACTATACGTACTTGCTAACAAGATCTTCAATGTGAGGTAACAGAGCAAGACACGGTCAGATCCTCCGGTATCTCGCTTAGACGTGCCCAAAACTCGGCGCATAATGGAACACAGACGACAGCTGAGCGACTTACACGGGAGGAAGCCAAAGCTCGATCCGTGCAACGGCACAGCCGCAAAGCCGCGTCGCCGGTCTATGACGTTGCACCAGACGTCAATCGTTGCCTTTCTTCCCATAAGGAGGGAATCAATTGATATAAATAAGTGAGATTTGTGTGTTATCGAGTACCTTAACTGGTATCGAGCTTCAGCTGAGAGGCGAGTACCTTGTTCACAAGGCCCGAAGAAGAGGCGATGCATACAGCACTGTAGCCTACCTATGGTACCCGATGCACGAGTTGTATAGAGACGGCAGAGATGGACCTATTCAATCAAGACTTGGCGACATGCAACATACAGCTACAATTAGCATTAGGATTTGGTATGCGCATGATAGACGAAGTGATTCTCTTGGCTCCAGAAATACATCTCTTTCTAGGGTAGGCTCCAAATGTGCTTTTGAGGCAGGGCATGACAAATGCAGACAGCGGGGTATATTTCGTCAAGACATGGCATGATGACTAGGTATTTACAATCTATTCTACCCCTCACACATCTCCGTTCCCATCGCAAAACTATCACCCAACATCTAGGGCGCGGGCTGCTTAATGGCCTCGATAATCTTGTCCTGAATCTTCTCCGGCTCCGTCGTGCTCGCCCAGCGGCCGATCACCTTTCCATCGCGACCGATCAGGAACTTTTCAAAGTTCCACTTGACCCTCTCCAAGCCGAGGAGACCCGGCTTCTCCTTCTTGAGCCACTTGTAGAGCGGGTGGGCGTCGTCGCCGTTGACGTTGATCTTGCCCATGACGGGGAACGTGACCTTTTGCTCGAGCGAGCAGAAGTTCTGAATCTCCTCGTTGCTGCCGGGCTCCTGGGAGCCGAACTGGTTGCAGGGGAAGCCGAGGACGACAAAGTCGTCGGGGTACTCCTTCTTGATGGCCTGGTAGACGGACTCGAGGTTCTTGTACTGGTAGGTGAAGCCGCACTTGGACGCGGTGTTGACGACGAGGACGACCTTGCCCTTGTACTGGGACAAGTCCACTTCGTTGTCGGCGCCTATAAAGATGAGAAGTACGATGCGCTCGTTAGCAAACGAGGAAGATGATTTATGCATGGGGTTTGCGGTTGTGGCATGATGGCTGGCGCAGACTGCGGGGATTGTCGCAATCCTGTCGCAAAAGCTGGCGAAGTGGGATTTCAGCGACGGGAAAGGGAAGTCTTACCGTCAGGCACCTTGAAGTCGAAAAAGCTGGTGGCGGAAGACATTGTCGAGGAGAGTCTGTTAAGCGTCGGAAGAGCAACTGCGCGCTGGTGCTGGTGGTGATGCTGGAGGTGATGCGAGCTGGTGGTGCGATGGTGATGATGATGATGCAAAGTCGAAAAGGCCGAGGCAGAGGATATATTATATGCGACTCTGGAATCGGTCCACTGATGACGTTTTGCTGCTAGTAGTAGTAGTGGCGCACGGCACGGAGCTGCCAGTCGGGGTCTCGCCGTTGGCAGAGTCCGGGCGACGAGCAAATTGGAATTTGGACAACGGGGCATTTTGCACTTTTCGAGCTGTCTGTCCGATGACAAAGCCGGCGGTGCAATCGAACGAGTGAACCAAGCAGCAAGAATGTCCACGATAAGAGCTCTAGGAGAGGTATTGTTAGGTAAAGCTCAGCCTTCCGGGACCTGTCGGCTCATCGATTCTGGCTCGGCCTCGGCAGCCCCACGGTGGCAACGGGCGTGTTTCTCTGCGCAGAATCTCAAATACTTACCTCGACCCTCCGGACTCCGAGAATTAGGTAGGCTGAAGTGTTCTAGTGGACAAGATAAGGGTATTACCAATGTCTGGATTGATTGGCCTGAAGCAGTCCATTCTTCCGGTTTGCGGAGAGACACTCGAACCCTCTTGCTTGGGTTCTCCATGACACCATACCCACCGCACCGGCCGGAACGGAGCACTGAATTTGTCCGCAGCAAGAAAGAGGCAAAACTGCTGGACCCCGCACCATCATGTGCAAGTGATCGTACCAATGTCAAAGAGATTTGTTGATGGCAGCTTGATCTCGTCCATGTGTGTGCGTTTTCGGCTTCTAGGGGCATTATTTTGACGAATGCGAATGCGAAGAGACGACAGCTGGCCTGCGTGATGTCATGGGCCAGCCAGATGAGGCGGCTGCCTAGTCTCCGGATGGCCAGAAGCCAAGCCGGGACAGACCTGAAGGCGGATTCTCTGATTCGCGGCCCGGCGATTGAGTGCTTACATGAGGTTGATGAGGTACAGGCCCATGGACTAACAAGTGTTGAGCGCGCGTGTATTCCCTCACAGACTGGCAGTATTGCAGTTATGTTGTTTCCAGTTATTGCTGGGCTGCAAGGTATTCAAGGTGCTGTCTATAACTGACTTCATGTTGCATTGCTGAACCCAGACGTGGGAGGCGTTTCCCTTGTGGCAGATGATGACTGGCTCTTCGCATGATGATACATTACCTTTGTCCGTTGATATCTCGTCTATAGCCGTAACTTTCTGTATGTTACCAGCCTCACAATGACTGCGGCACTGGATGCAAGTGGAACAGTCAGCACCGTAACACTCTTGACTGAGCTGTGTGTTTGAACCCCGTTGTATCGAGGAACAAGGCTGACACTGCCAGATCCTCACAAGCCACTCTTTCGGGCCGTTCAAGCCTCTGCTGGGATAATTGGCATCATCGGTACGGCATCAGTCGATGCCTTCCAAAACGTTCAGCCACCTATCCAGAGTTGACGAAGACCTGGAAGTTTGTCACTGCAAATGGCAGCACCCTTACTCGCGGTACTTCAGTGGCATGACCTTGGGTTCGTCAACCCAAGATGATGCAGCTCCGCTATTGAATCACTGATCCAGATAGCCCGAATTTTGGCAATCTATCGGGAAGTTTATATTGTCCGTCATAGTTGATGCCCCGGCTTCCGGTCTCTACCACGGACAGCACGGCTTATGTCCGACCCTACCCTATTGGCGGGTGAGAGTCCTCCGATGATTGTATATCAGACACGCCTCTACAGAAGAAGGTCATCTTACCGACAACGATGAATTGTCCGCAGATAGTATTCTGTTCAGCTCAGGGAATCAATACGCGATGAGTATGAAACTAGTGTACCTTGTTTTGCGCCTTGATTGTAAATGCACTAGTAAATGGCGGAAGATCGTCATGCCGGACTGTTGGTGACGTTGAGGTTCGCACAAGACTATCAGGCCTCCTTCTCACAAAGAGAGGCTTGAACCAGGCATACTGCGTTCAGGGAAACAACAACTACATGCAAGGCTTATGACTCCATACGTAGCCTCGGACCAGTCTACTTGCAAGCCATCACGAACATAATTGAACATGTTTTTCAATTGGAGCCAATTCTCTCCAGAGACGGACATCCCTTCGCAAGAAGGCAAAGTGATTGTGGTCACCGGAGGGCAAGTCGACTTCTCGATTGTCCAACGATACTTAGCAACCAAGCTCACATGAGTTACCATTACAGAAACACGGGCATCGGCAAAGAAACCATCCTTCAGCTCTGCAAACACTCACCGAAAAAAGTCTTCCTCGCCACCAGAAACGAGGCCAAGGCCAAAGACGCCATCGCCTCCATCAACTCCCAGCTACCCAAGCCCGCCGATGTCGAGTTTGTGTCGCTCAATCTCAGCAATCTGGCCTCTGTCGCTTCTGCGGCCGAGACAATTTCTCGAAGCACAGACCGGATCGACCTGTTGTTTCTCAATGCCGGCATCATGAACATGCCGCCGGGCAAGACGGACGACGGATTCGACCTGCAGCTGGGCACCAACCATGTCGGCCACTTTCTCTTCACAAAGAGACTGCTTCCCGTGTTGAAGGAGACCGTCGCCAAGTACAACACTGATGTTCGAGTCATTTCCACCTCTTCCTTAGGAAACGCATTCGCGCCGTCTTTCGACACAATGATTTCCTCCGAGAAGCTCTCGTCGCAGGGCCATTGGACGTCGTACGGCGCTTCCAAAGCAGCCAACATCCTCTTCGCCGCTGAGCTTGCCAAGCGTCACCCGGAACTCATCTCCGTGTCTCTCCATCCCGGCATGATTCAGACGGATCTGTACGCGACGACTACGTCCAACAGCTTCCTCCTGCGAACCTTGCTGCGTTTCTTCGGCCCTCTTGTGTATCATGACGTGTCGTACGGCGCCTTGACGCAGCTGTGGGCCGCCACTGTGGACAAGAGCAAGCTGAAGCAGGGCGGATTTTATGTGCCCGTTGGGAAGCTGGATAGCAAGAACAAGTTTGCCGTTGACGATGATATGCAGAAGAGGCTGTGGGAGTGGACGGAGGGGGAGCTGGAGCAGAGGGGTTACTGAGCGGGATTGGCTGCCCGAGTTGAAACTGTGTGATTGCAGTTATACAGAGCTATGAATTACCGTTGCGATGTACAATATTCTGGATACTCCCTTGTGTGAACTGAGGCATGGTAGAGTAGAATTAAGCGTATACTGTGTAACGGTGAACACTGGCTTCAACGGGATAACCCTTACTTTTTCATATCGACGTCCCCTAAGATATCGCCAGATATGTAAAAGCCGGCCAACATCCTTCGCCCAGCGCAAGCCAAGGTTCTTGAACGGATTCATCCGGGACTTGGTCCGGAAGTTGGTCCGTTCATCAAGCGGGAATCCGGGACTCTGGGCCGGCTTTGTCCGAGTGCGCCGAAAATTGGGGACCTCGGAATGATTGCCAGATCCAGCTCCGCATTACGCCGTGAGCCCGATTGGGAGAAGATATGAAATGCAAGCTCAAAGGGCAGATCGTTTATAACCTGTACTAGTATGACTCTTCTTTGACTGTTTCTCGCATGATCGACTTTGACAAGATGGGATTCCCCGAAGCCATCACGGGAGGATGCCTCTGTGGCTCGATTCGTTACTCGATATCTGCCTCTGCTGAGACACCATGGCCGCCTCAGGTATGTTCTTGTATGTAGTTTTTCTCACACAGCCTCACTATAACTGACCCTTTTCTTTTCCAAGTCATCGACTTGCCAGTGTAAGTGTGGCGTGCATACATACCTAGGCAGATGGGGATGTCGACATGGGTCTCTCCCTATGTAACACGTCGCTCACTGCTAATGGACGACTTTCTCACAGGCACCATGTGTCGCAAGTGGACGTCATCCCTCATTGCCCAATTCATCATTGTGCTCCCATCGCAGATCCAGCCAGCATTCGACAGCCACGAGACCTTTGAGGAGTACGAATCGTCACCAGGCCGCTATAGAGGGTTCTGCAAGCGGTGCGGGACGTCGCTGGTCTGGCGGTCCGCAGATGACGCCAGCACAGTCGACGTCTTTTTGGGGACGGTGGATGAGAAATGGCTCGTTCACGAGGATGGCGGCAAGGTCGGACAAGCGCTGGCGAGGCCCAATGGGACGCAGTTTTGGATGGAAAATGCCATTCCGGGAGTTACTGATTTGGTCAAGGGGGGCAAGGAGTTTCTTAGGGAAGGGGAGGATGGGTGGGAGAGGAAGAAGGATTAATAGAGCGTCAAGGGCATATAGACTGGAGCAATGGCTGGATCAAGGGTCAGCTGCGTCTTGTTGTTGCTTTCGAGATTCCAACGTGAGCAACCTTCCTTGGCGTCGGTGTCAGGGAGGAAGGGAGTAAGAAAGATAAAAGAGTGGCATGAGGACGCGTATTGAACAGTTCATGTGGGAGAAACTGAGGGGGATCGATTGTGTTGCTAATACTAGTGGGTAGAGCTGAACTCTACACCCACTTATTGTCTTGGATCCGAGTCGAACGGACCGAGGCTAGCACCGTCGTCATTGTCTGATCACCAGATCTTCGTTCGGCTCATGAACCCAGATAAGTGGGAAGGTCGTGGACTTTGAACAAATCGAAAGACAAGGTCATGTCTAGTATTTGTTCCCATCTCGTACCCCGCGTTCTCGTCAGTCTAGAGTCTATAGTTCAGCCCCTGACCTGGAGAATCTGGGGAACCCGCCGGACCGCTGTGGTACCCCCCCTGTGGATGCCAGGCGTGGAGCCGCCGGACCGAAGCCCGGTGCTGTTGAGTCCGGGAGGAAAAAAGGACGAGCTGAGAGACCCGGCATCGGTCACCGCTCGCGAGGAAAACAGCGGTGATTGATATAGTATATGTATGTCCCCTCTCAAGGCCCAGCAGCAGCTGGGGGGAGGGAAAAAGACCTCGGCTATAAACCATTTCTTAACCCGAGAAGACGGCACAAACGCTGAGAGTCCCAACGCCCCTGGAGTCGCATTGCAGCAACCAGTAGGTAGTTCGAGAGCAGCAGCCCTACCGATGGATCCCCTGGAACGGTTCAGCAGCGACAGCAGCTCTCTTAGCCCAGAGCCGCATTCGTCGAAGCAGCCTGTCCGCAGAGCTAGCAAGGCCTGCCTGGCATGCAGGGCGAGGAAGGTCAGATGCGATGTCACGATACGGTCGCCCTGTGGGAACTGCCAGTGGAACGGACAGCAGTGTGTGACACATGCTCGACGAGCCAGAAGGTCGGTGAGAGGTTAGGAGGGCCAAGAGGGTGAAGAGCTCTGCTAATATCGAGCATTACTACTAGACGGAGGAGAAGGCCAGTTACAACGGCAACTCCCTGTGAGACGGGTGTTACAGGAGAGACTGCCCCCAAAGATGGCCCTCGCGACCTGCTCGAAGAGTTTGCCATCGAGTCTCACTGCCTGGACGCGCCCATGTCGATGGAAGACCTGGAGCTTCTACGAGCAGACATTGAGTCCGACAAGTCGCCTCGAGACTCATTGTCCGACATGGTCGATACGTTTAACCTGCCCAACTATGTCCGACCCCTGACGAGCCTCCCTCCCGACGACATGGAGTTTCTGCACGCCGAGGGCGCCCTGACTCTGCCCGACAGTGCTCTCCAGAACGCGCTCCTCCGGGCGTTCTTCGAATACGTGCATCCGTATGTGCCGACGCTGGATCTCGATGCTTTCTTGCACTCCATAGAGACACCTGATGGCTCCGCGGGACAAGTGAGCTTGTTGCTGCTGCAGGCGGTCCTCGCAGCTGGAACGGCACATGTAGAGCTGCATCACCTCCGGAATGCCGGCTATCAGACGCGGAAGCAGGCTCGCACGGCGTTCCTCAAACGAGTTCGAGTAAGTCCCATCACCTTTCCCCTCCCCCAAAGTCATGACTGCTTTATTGCGTGTGGTCAAGAGACAGTTGTTAATCGACTTTTACAAACGGCAGCTCTTGTACAAGTACAACTGCGAGCTGGACCAGATGGTCCTCACACAATCGCTCCTCCTCATCACCTCCTGGCAAGACGCCTCCGACGAGCACGGCAAGACGTGGTTCTGGATCGACGCGGCCGTCTCGCACGCCTTCGCGGCCGGCCTGCACCTGGAGCCGTCCGTCAACAAGCCGAACCTGTCGAGGCGCAAGCAGCGGCTGCGGCGGCGCGTCTGGTGGTGCTGCTTCATCCGCGACCGGCTGCTGTCGCTGGGCATGAAGCGGCCGCCGCGGATCAAGGACGGCGACTTCCAGGTGGCGATGCTGGACGAGGCCGACTTCCAGCCGGAGCAGATCCGCAGCGACGACGGCGACCACGCGCGCTTCGAGGCCGTCTGCGTCTACGTCCGGAGCCGCAAGAAGCGCGCCGAGCTGGCGAGGATGTGCGTGGCGCAGGCGACGCTCTGCCGGTCCATGAGCTTCCTGTCGAGCAGCATGTACGTGGCGCCCCACGACAGCCTTGCTGTCCCGTCGTCGTCGTCCCAGGAGGCCGGGGCGACGAGGGCGAGGCCGAGGGCAGACGACGGCGGCGAGCAGAAGCTCTTCACGACGTACATCCGCGACCTGCTCGAGTGGCGCGACGGGCTGCCGGAGGGCGTCTCGTACCGGCCCATCTCGAGCAGCGACATTGGCCGGGACGGCAACACGAGCATCTCGCTGGACCGGGCGGTGCTGCACATGATTTACTACGCGGCGGTGCTGTGCCTGTACCGCTCGCGCTTCGTGGCGCTGCTTCAGCAGCAGCAGCAGCAGCAGCAGCACGGGGCGGGCGACTCGTCGTCGTCGTCGTGGTCCATGGAGAAGGAGTTGTGCAAGACGTACATGCAGCACTCGGCGAAGCGCATCGGCGACATCGCGAGGAACATTTACGACCACGGGCTGGATCGGCTGCTGCCCAGCATGGCGGCCAACATTGCCGTGTCCGCCGCGAGCGTGCACCTGCTCGAGCTCAGGGGCCAGCTGCAGGGCTGCGGGACGGAGCCGAGCTATCGCCAGAGCAGGCGGCTGATGCAGTCCATGCACGACATTTACGCGGGCGCTGATTTGTCGAGGGAGTCGCTCAAGTGGCACGAGGAGGAGGAGCAACAGCAGCAGCAGGAGAGGAGAGAGAAGGAGGAGAAGGGGATGAGCTGGAGTAGCCCCGGCGGAGAGGTAGCGGCTGAGACAGGGGGGAAGGAGGAGAAGGAGGAGGAGGACTATCTCGTGGCTGACGCGGACTGGCTAAAGGACTTGGAGGCGGCGACGTGCTGGTATGTGGCCGAGCCGTATCGGGCGGACAGCTTCTTGCAGTATCCGGGAGAGGGACTGGATGTGGTGAATGAGTTTTTTGCTTTCTAAAGGGGGGACTACTATCACGGACATTATCACGGAGTTCCAAGGTGTTGGGGATGGGTATTATGCAGATGGCAAATAGCATAAAAGAGAGGCAGTTGTGTTCCTATCATGGCAGCTGATGCTCTCAGTCTTTTCCTTGAACCATGAATATTTGCCCATTTCTTTGTTTTCATGTGAGCCACATCACTCTACCGTCTCCTACTCCCACTTACACCTCTCGCAACCCCCCTTGATAGACATCGGGTCCTCTATCCAATGCTTCAGCTCCCCTCCACTGGCCACAACTCTCAGGAACCCGTCCAAGGCCATCTTCAACGCCATCTTAGGTCCGCATTGTCTCATAATCAACAACATGCGGGGGTGTTCATCCTCTTCCAAGCCCTCGCACCCGCTCCTTGAGGAAGTTTCTCAAGAAATTGCCTAATCCGGCATGTGGCGATGCCAGCTGCAACCCCAACTCCCCAGCTATGCTCTCCAATACACAAATCGAGGCAAGCCCGGATCCAAGTTTCCATACATTAGCCTTAAGTTCTTAGCTCCCGCTGCCGCTAGTCAACCTGTTCGTCAACTGAACGCGATTCCCATAGATTCGCTCGTTTACCCCACAGAGATGCCAAGTCCCTGTGCGGCCCCGGAACGCTGGGATTCGACCTCCATTGGCTCGATCCTGTCTCGGTCCGCCTTGTCCATCCTCATGGGCTTCAGCGGTCCGATGGAAGATGCCTTGGAATACTATGGGCGGAGAAAGGGTGAAATCGGACCTGAATCTGGGGTAGTACTAGTGGTAAACAAAGTGAGGCTTAATAAAAGACGAGGCGGCGAGTCTTGATTCGGTGTGGGCGGTTGATGCATTGCATGAGGCTATACCGGGGACCCAGCGCCATTATTGGCTAGATATCTGTAACTAGGTACTTGATATCAGTCGTTTACACCTAACTACTTACATGGGCGATCATATTGTTGTGAATGTACTTTGGTAATAAGCCACGTCTTCTCTCTTGGCTCCCCAACGAGGACAAAGAGAGGAGCACAAGATCCCCAGTGCTATACTAACGCCTCATGTGATGTGCCTAGACAGACGAAAACCGCCGTCCCAAGCACCAGTGGCTGGCATTTGTTTGTCCTACGGACCGCATCTAGCCCTCTGAATGTCTGCAGGGAGGGGAGGGGGCCTTTGTTGGGGCTGAATCCTCTGTTTCTGTGACACGATGTACGAAGTGGGCGATATGTAAGGGGGGAGAAAAAGAAAGAGCCAAGCTGGCATTGCATGAAATGACCTCGTTGATAACGTCTTTGGGCAGAAAGACAGTTACTCCCAACTAGATAACATCCCCCCCTCTTCCAACCTTTTCCTCCTTTTCCTCTTCTTCTTCTTCTTCTTCTTCTTCTTCTTCTTCTTCTCCGTCCATATACTCTCGTCGTTGAGAAACACATACCTACCCAGTAGCAGGCTTCCAAATCCTACACAACTCACAAAACACACACACACACACACACATACACACATCCATCCATCCACAATGGCCCCCTCCGCAACCTCCCCTCCCCCAACCACCACAAACAGCCAACCGATCGACCTGGGGAGCAACTACGTCCAGATCATCAACGGCAAAAGCGCTCCCACGGAACACGTCCGCCACGGCATCAACCCAGCCTCCCTCGAGCCCAAGCCCGACGTCCCCGTGGCCACGCAGGCGGACCTCGACCGCGCCGTCGACGCCGCAAAGGCCGCCTTCAAGAAGTGGTCCCGAGTGCCCTACGAGGAGCGCCGGGCCGCGGTCCTGGCGTTTGCGGATGCCATTGATGCGCAGCGCACCGAGTTTCGTGACTTGTTGATCTCGGAACAGGGAAAGCCTGTACGTTTAGAAAACATTCCATCTTTTTCTTTTGTTGTTGTCGTTGTTATATATGAGACCTTCTCTCTCTCTCTCTCTCTCTCTATCTCTCAGAGCTAGTTGAGGAAGCTGACCTGGTGTTTCATGTTATTTTGTGTGTGTGTGTTCTAGATCCCCCAAGCAGATGGCGAGACAGACGCCGCCATCGAATGGATCAGGGGCATGTCCAACATCAAGCTGCCCGAGGACGTCATCGAGGACAACGACAAGCACACCGTCACCACCCGGTACACGCCCCTGGGCGTCGTCGCCGCCATCGTCCCCTGGAACTTCCCGCTGCTGCTGGCCACGGGCAAGATTGCGCCGGCCCTGCTCACGGGCAACGTCATCATTGTCAAGCCTTCGTGAGTTTCTCTCTCTCTTCTCTCTCTCTCTCTCTCTTTCTCCCCTTTCCAGTCCCAGTTGTACCTATTGTTATACATATCTTGGGAGATCATCAAAAGACAGAAGGAAAAAAAAAATGTAGCGGTGAGGTTACGTGAGCTCAATACTAATTCGGACATGTGTGTTATTAGGCCCTTCACTCCCTACTGCGGCCTCAAGGTCGTCGAGCTAGCGCAGCAATTCTTCCCTCCAGGCGTCGTCCAGTCTCTCAGCGGAGACGACAACCTCGGCCCCTGGCTCACGAGCCATCCCGGCATCAACAAGATTAGCTTCACCGGCTCCACGGCAACGGGAAAGCTCGTCATGCAGAGCGCCTCCAAGACCCTAAAGAGAGTCACTCTCGAGCTGTATGCCCTCTCTTACGTCCCCCGCCCACCCCCTTCTCTCTCTCCCTTCTTTCTAGTCAACACATCAAGCGTCTAACAAGAACTCATTTGTGGACAGCGGCGGCAACGACCCAGCCATCATCCTCCCAGACGTCGACGTCGACAAGGTCGCCGAAAAAGTCGCCCTCTACGCCTTTCTCAACTCGGGCCAAGTCTGCCTCAACCTCAAGCGCATCTACGTCCACGACGCCATATACGACCAGTTCCGCGACGCAATGGTCAGGCACGTCCGCGCTTACGCCCTCGGCGACGGCGCCCAGCCGGGCGTCACCCACGGGCCCCTGCAGAACGCCATGCAGTACGACCGCGTAAAGACCTTCTTCGACGACATCGAGAGGCAAGGGTGGAAGGTCGCCGTGGGGGGCAAGATTGAGGCCGCGCCTGAGAAGGGCTACTATATTGCGCCGACGGTGATTGATCGGCCGCCGGAGGACTCGAGGATCGTTGTTGAGGAGCCTTTTGGTAAGTAAGATTGAGAACGAAATGCTCACTGCCACCATCAACTTCACCCATGAGCATCATCAAGGTATAGCATACTAATCTCTTTCTGTTCTCTTCAGGCCCCATCGTCCCTCTCCTCTCGTGGTCCTCGGAAGAAGACGTCATCGCCCGCGCAAACAACACCTCCATGGGCCTCGGCGCCTCCGTCTGGTCCAACGACATCGACAAGGCCGCCCGCATCGGCCGCGAGCTCGAGGCCGGCACCGTCTGGATCAACACACACTTTGAGATCTCGCCCATCGTGCCCTTTGGCGGGCACAAGGAGAGCGGCATCGGCGCCGAATGGGGCATCAACGGCCTCAAGAGCTTCTGCAACGTCCAGTCCATGTTTGTCAACAAGCATGTCGTCAGCTAGAGGGGGGGCTTTCCATGGTGTAAATTGGTAGACGCGCTCGTAGATTAAGTTTTTTACATAATGACTGCTCTCAAATCGTGTCATATATCCAAGTGCCGTTTTGTCCGACATCCATCGTGTACATAAGTCATCACTGCTGGACTCCTGAATGGCAAGATATACGTCGTTCCACCGTGTATCATGTAACAGGCAACAAAGAAAGCGAACCGACATCAAAGACCTCATAGACCTCATAGGGGTACGCTATTCCCGAGAAAGCCAACGTTTGGGTCAGGGTTCGCATTGGGCGGCGCCATGCCCCCGAATGCATCGTTATTCTCCATCCCCATCTGCGTATCGAGCGGGCCCATGAACGTATCCGTCGATAGGGGCGGCGGCGTTATTGCCGAGTCGTTATGCGCAGACATGGCCACGTAGTCGACCATCAGCCACAAGGCAGACTCCAGCTTGGGATCGACGTCGGGAGTTGTCGAGTCCAAAAGGGCCGCGAGAGAGTGATAGTTGGCATCGAAGAGCATTAATTGAAGGTGCTGAAATAGCAGGTGGGATGTCAATACGAGCCGAAAACACGCACTGGATAAACAGGACTCACCATTTTCGAAGCATGGTCCCATCTCCTCCCCACCCGTTCCAGAATCTGTATCGACTTCTGGTAGTGGTTAAGTAGCTCCGGATCCGTGACTTGTCCCTTTTCTTGGTCAATGTGGATCGCCAAAGACAGAATGCCGCCGGCCAGGATGGAGGCATATGCATAAAACGACGACTGCACGTGGCAGCCAGACGCGATGGCGTCCTCCACGACGCACGATATCGAGCGAGCGTGCGTACAACTGACTTCGAATGAGCGGGTCAGAAATTTCGGCGGCACCTTGCAGTTACCCTTCTTAAGCCTCATCCGAAGAAGAAATGGGTGGTTCAGGAGGCAGTGGGTGGTGTGGAAGACGATGCGCGCAAACACCACGTGTTCAAGCGATTGAAAGTCGAGGGTCCCGTCCGGCTTGCGATGCTGCTCTACGATTTGGGGTATCGTGGTGGTCTCGATTTGGAGGTGGTGGTCGATGAGCAGCAGAAAGGTGTTGAGCAGGGTGAAGTCGGACCTGGGATCCCACGGTGGCATCTCGTCAATCTCGCGCCCGTGCAGGACATAGCGAACGCAGCGTCCGAGAGCCGTCGCAGCGAGAATCGTTTGAGTAAAGGTGCTGTTGACCGTTTCAGTCTCCGACTTCCAGTTGATGAGCTGGTGTAGTGTCGGCGTCTTCTTCCAGAGGCCCCTTCTGAACGTGTCCTCGTCGGTGGGCAGCTGTACGTGTATGTCTTCTTCGGAAATGGCGGGCGGGCGGCTCTGACCGACCGAGACCAGCTTGTCCAGCAGATAGATGGACCAAAAGGCTCGCCGATGCTCCTCCTGCTCAATCGGCGACAAGGTGCTGGACGGCTCCCTCATAAGCTGCAAGTCTTGCGCAATGCGGACAGCAAGTCCAA